GTCAATGTTCATTCCATAGAAATACAAAATCACAAATTCTAATTCACTGGTATTTTTTCTCTATCATAAATAGACATACCACTTAGTATTTTAAATACTAACAATAAGGACAAAAAGAAATTGTACAATTTATTTCTATATTATATTGAAGTTTATAGAAAATCAAAAGTACAACATTGACTTATTATGTGAAGTTTTTATATTCTTCAAATCAATTGCATAGTCCAATTTATCCAGAGTATAAAACTACAAAAGTTTTTAGTCTACAAAAATCAGACATATTAACATTTCTCATGGAGTACAAAACTACAAAAAAAAATTTCCCCCCAAACAGAATAACACATATTCTTTATCACATAAAAATGTTTTTCTTATCAAATAGTCTTCCAACTATAACATTTTGACATACTATTTTATCAAATAAAAAATATGTATTTTTGCAAACTAAAGAATTTTAAAAGCAACAATATTTGCGAAGTAAAATTCATACCACAACATATGGTTTGCAGATCTTTTTCCAAAGATACACATAATAAAAAAAAATTAAAAACCAAAGATGATAACTCTTAGAAACTATTTTCCTCCTTAGATAATTTAATAAGAAGGTTACCTGGTAATCTTTAAACAGAATACCATAAAAAAAAAAAATTGTTACATTCTCACTTCGACCTTGCTAAACAAAGCAACGAATTATGAAGAAGTAATGCATTTATCTTCTACTTCCATAATAAGATTCTCTCAATGAGTAGAATACAAAAATACTAACAGTATAATAATTTCCTTAAGATTGTTACTGTGAATTCAGTGGACTTGATCTTTTTCCTATTAAAAATTTTCAGATTCTGATACGTGTTTTACAAATTTTAGATTTGTGAATTAATTTCAGTTCTTCTATTCTTCTGTTCTTCACTGGTTCATTAAACTTGGTAACTTCGTGTTTCTGCAAAGTTTGTTGGAATCAGTAAGGTTCTTTAGACACATATTAAAAACAATTCCTCTTTAAGAAAAATATTTCGTATATTTTTTTTAAAAAATCTGTTTCTGATACTAGTTTTGCTACTAGTTTTAATTTTCTAGTTGTGAAAATGTTCTTAAACTTTGTTTTCTTACAAAGATGTTCAAAGTTTTGTTCTAAGTATGTTTGGAATACAAGATGAACAACACATCTCTCATCTGTTGATCAAACATATAATTATTTATATTAGAAAAGCCAAATAAATCTTTGATAATATCATCAAATATGATGATCAACATTCTTAAGAGGAAAGAAAAAGTGTTTCTTATAAATGGTGAAGTCAAGAAGGCAATGCGACTAACCTTTTTAGCATCGATTTGCAGCAAGTACAAATCATCCTTAACATTCAAGAAGAAGTTCAGCAAAGTTGATTGAACCTGCAAGTTCCAAATTTTCAAGTCAGAGTGACCACAAACAAACTCAGTTAAATAAAATTTCGAAATTAATTTTTTTTTATAAAAACAAATTTAATTTTTTTTGGTCGGGATGGAGGGATGATCGGGGTCGGGTGGAGGGTGAAGTGAAAATATAAAATTTTGAAATTGAAAATACTTTTAGAAATTGATGGGTTTTTTTTTAAAAAAAAATGTAATTTAAAGTAGGACGAGAGTTCTGAGAAAATGTTTTCCTTAACTTTTGAAGGGAAGTCATTTTCCTTTGAGGTAAATGAGTTAATTTGAAAAATATTTTTCAAAACTTTTATCCCAACCAAACATGAGAAAATTAATTGTTCTCTAAAATATGCTAAGTTGCAACTAAAATATTCAATTGGATTATTTTTTCCACAATACGTTAAGCATATCTAACAACAATTGAACTATTGATTCCTTACATGATTTAAGTATAAATTCCTAAAGATAAGCCCTCTTTTCTTCTTTTTCTTTTTCCCGTCAGGAGTTTTGATTTTGGGTGATTGTTGAGACCACAAATGCTAAATCATGAAAGTATTCCCTACTTCTTTAACTTGCATGTCATAATGATTTTACATACTTTTCAAGAGAAGAAAACTTGCAATTTTATTAATTAGGAGTTCAAAACATAAAGTGCTTTATAACAGGTGCTTCCCAAAGTAAAGGAAATAGATAAATGAGCAACTGAGGCAATAAGAACTTGAAAACTATATATCAAGTTCGAGGTATAGTCTCATGCAGGTGATTTATTAATCAACAAACAAGTAGCTCGAGACTAATCTAAAGTTCTCTTGCATTCACTTGGTTAAAACTAGACACTAATTCATGATTAAACATGAAAAATAGGGGAATCCAACACAATTTTCCTTGATAAGTTACTCCTCAAGTGTTGGTCGGTGTACATTTTTCTATAACTTTTGTCAACTGGATAATGACTTGCTTAAAAGTGTGTCATATTCCATTGTGATAAATGGGAAGCCTACTTCTCCCTTCCTTGCCAATAAGGGGATCCTCTATCTCCATTGTTCTTTCTTAGTCATGGAGTCTCTAACCAAATCCTTAAATGAATTGAAATTGCAGCCAGGCTTCAAGTATCAACCAAGATGTGATAGATTGAACATCATATAACTGGGTTTGCTGATGACCTCCTATCATTTTGTAGGGGTGATGTGGTACCAGTGCAGCTATTGTTTGACAAGTTTCAGAACTTTTCTATATCATCTGAATTAAATGCCAATCTTGATAAAAGTTAAGTGTTCTTTGGGAGTGTATGAAACGATAGTGCACAGCACTACATGCTTTTTCATGCAAGAAGAAGTTCAGAAAACAATAGAGAAGGATATAGAAATCTAAAGAAAAGAAGAAACAGTAATATGAGGATGAAAACCTCAAGACCAAGAAATTACTCCAGTAAGTAAAAAAATGGAACTATATTGAACTTTCTCTGATGTCTTTCTCAACCCTCGCACAAGTTAGCTTACATGCGCAATGGGAAAGAGAGCTCGAATTCCATCTCAAAAGGCTCTAACCGCTAATGAGAATGCATACAAGGGAAATAGAAGAGGACAGAAGGGTAAACAATCTTCAAAGGTAGCACTGGTAGAGACATTTTTTTTTTTAAATATAAAAAGCACTAGTAAAGACCACTGGTAGAGACATTGAAAAAGGGATCCGATCCCAACCCCTCATATATCCAAAAACAGTAACCCCTAGATCTACTGGGGAGAAACAACTGGAGCTGATATGCTGCCACCTTTAATGACTACAGTATCCAATAAAATAGTAACCCCCACTCCTATTGCAGTGGGGCATATTGACACAGTGGAAGGAAGTTTTACTAGCTTCTGCTTGCAGTGATAAAAACACCTCTGGGAGTAGTAGGTAAAGGACACGGGCAGATGAAGTTGAGCAAGTGATGCACACACAAGAGAAGAAGAACACGATTTAGGATAATTTGGACATCAACTAGGTCTCGGGTGCTGGGTTTAAGCTCGAGTACGTTCCACCCAACACTGCATGGTGAGTCTTCTATCATTGAAATTACACTAGAGGAGATCGAATATGAAATTATTTATTGGAAATCAACTGTGGTTTGTTATCCTCCATTTGAGGTATTGAAGGGTTTTATACAAAGATTATGGGCAAAGCATGGGATTAACAAGATAGTTAAGTAGAAGAATGAAATAGTCTAGTTAGTTTTGACTCTGAGGTGGGGAAAATATGAAGTTATTCAGGGAGAGATTTACCACTTTGACAATAGCCTTTCATTGTTAAGGCTTGGAATCCTGACAAGGAGTTCACTGAGGAGATCAACACTGTCCCTATTTGGATTAAATTCCTGGTCTAAACTCCAAATATTGGAGTTCTAAGGGGTTGAGCAGGATAGATAGCCTTATTTATTGATAAAAATATAGAGAGTAAAATTGGTCTAAACTTTACCAGACTACTTCTGGAAGTAGGCATGGATATTCTCAACTTTTTGGCACCTATGTTTCTCAGACTCATCAATGTGCGAAGATGCACAAAAAGTAGTGCATTTTTTGATGATCCGACACGGTGTGGCAACATTTTTGCAGATTCTGAGCAACATAGACTGACTTTTTTATTTAGGAATGAGAAAGGAAACTTGACTGAGCAGAAGGTAACTATTGTTTGGAGACCAACTCTTCGTAAATTTTGACAAAAATATGGCCATACAGAAGATGTTTGTTGAAAGAAGAAGGCACCAAAAGCTGCACCACAGGTTGAACAGACAGGTAAGGGTCAGCAAATTCCTTCCAGTGAGAAGACTGAAGCAGAAAGGGCGCATGAGAATGTAATGTCTGACCCTTAATTTGAAAAAAGCAATGTTCATGTCGCATCACCAAAACAGATAGTACAAGCACCAATTGCTGAACCACAAAGGTTAGACCCACAAGTTACTGAGTCACAAGCACGGACTGCTAAGCTCAGCAACTACTCAGAGTCGACTGACTAGGGAAACATGTGTTACTCCGTCAAAGACTCAAAGACAAGGAAAACTCGGGCTCAAACACAGCACCAAGTGGAAAGAAGGAATCAATATCGGATATTAAACAGTCCTTTAGCTCCTACAACTGCATCAGAAAATCCAATTAAAGAGGGAGGCAAGTCTTCCCTAGATTTGACTATCGTTGAAATCTTATGTTGGAATGCTAGGGGACTTAATGCCCGTAATAAGCAAAAAGAGGTTAAACCCCTTTGCAATGATGTGAAAGTTAGTTTGATAGGGTAACTTGAAACTAAGATCAAGAGTGATAAGGTGGAGCAGATTACTAGTATTTCCAATTTAGAATCCCACGACAATGATAGAATTTTGGTGATTTTGAGACCTGATTACTACTCAATGACACCTTTAATATTACTGCACAAGTTATTACCTGTGAAGTTTGCCACATTCCCTTACAACTGATCTGTGTGACGTTGATTGTATATGCCTTCAATACAAGAGAGGAAAGAAGGTGACGATGGGACAGCTTGATGGAATATCATAGTAGGAAGTAGGAACTTTATGCCTTGGCTTGTTATTGGAGACTTCAACTAAGTACTGAGCAGTGCAGATAGAACTGGTGGGAACCCTGTTACTTGGTCAGAAGTAGTGGAATTCCAAGACTGTGTTGGTAGTTGTGGTTTATACGAATTGATGCACCAAGGGAAGAAATATACATGGCAAGGCAGACATGGTAATCTAAGAATCTATCTAAAAATAGATTGGCATTTCATTAACAAATGATTGGACAAATTCCCTTCTTGCAAGGTTGAATACCTCCCAGAAGGAACAAGTGATAACTGCCCAGTTATGGTGTGTTATGAGGAGGAAAGACGAAGGACCAAAGACCAAGAAAGCCTTCTAGTTTTGTAATGGATGGTCCAAACATCCTTTATCCCTAGAGAAAGTGAACACTAGATGGGACATTCCAATTACAGGTTATATAATGTTTTGGGTAGTTAGAGATTGGAGCTAGAGATCACTAATGAATACTCAATTCTTAAGAAATATTGTTGATGGAGCAGATGATGAAAGAGAAGTTTTATTCCGAGCCAAATAAGAAGAGACAGACTGATCCACAAAACTTGGAGTTCCAAACATGTGAAAAGGACTAGTACCAGAAGTTCAAAACTTCAGTCTATATGGCTGAAATGTATCTACAACAGAGAAGTAAAGCATAATGGATCCAATTAAGGATGACTACACCATGTATATTTATTCTGTCATCAAACAGAAAAACTGCACCAAGTCAATACATAGCTGAAGAATTAAATGGGGGTGCAACAATCCGATCCTAATGAAATAGCCAAAATATTTGTAAAACCAATACTTTCAAATAATGCTACACAAATGTAGTGCCTAAAATATCTCTTACATATTCCCCATGTCGAGAATATGTTAATATAGATCATACAAGATATTCAACTATCTGTCCATCGTGCTAATATATGATGATATATGGACAAATAGAGCTCCACCTGATTGCAGTTGGTATTAGAGAAAGTTAAATTCCTTAAAAGAGGTATATAAACGTGGCACTCCAATTGTAGGTATGACCTAACTTCTGGTAGACAGTATCCCATCACTAACGGTTATAATATGGACAACAGAGAAGATGGAGACAACAGACTTGATGTAGAGTGCCACTGCACAGCCAAAGCATAAGTTCAATTTAATATCCCAGTCGATGACACCGCTTGCTGTCTCTGTGATAAAGGCAGTGGAGACCACAACTCATTTGTTTGGGAAGTATAACTGGTTCAAACATGTGTTCTGAACTTATGGCGTGGGTAGGAATCAGATCTGATGAAGTTAAAGTGGTACTGGAGAGGATCAAACAGAAGAACTGAAAAGAATTCAAGAAAGAAATGTAGCTATATGGGGGGCTTCCATATACCACACATGGAGGGTCAGGAACTGGGTGTTGTTTAGCAGAGTCCATGTACACACTGATATAGCCATAGCTCAAATTAGAAAGACTTGATCTTATTAGATAGCACAGGAAAGCTCATAGATGCAATAGTTTCATAAAATCACTCATTTATGCTTAGATTTTGGTTGGAGGCTTGTTATCCTAAAGCACCCTTCCTAGAAGGTGGATAGGATATTTGTGTGTTGAGCAGGTGCATGGTTTTCTTGTTGGTTAGAGTTTTACAGTTTACCAACAAAAAGATACATAAGTATTTACCATCCTTAGCATTTCCCAAAACTAAGTGTAACAATAATTTAAGTCGTTCAATCGTGTAAGACATATAGCCTGATCAAGTTTTGGGACATTCCCAAAACTAAACTCTGCTATGTTCATCTTCAGAACATGTGTATTCTTAACTGGCAAGCAAAAGGACTATTCAAGTTAATGAAAATAAATTACCTCTAAAGTATTCTATTGTACTATATTAGCTACTATCCTGCCTTATTTCTTTGTCAAGCTAATTCATCCCAACCCATCGACTGTCAATCAATTTTGTAGCCTTCTAATTCTACTGACAGACGATTCTCTATATGGTTTACTAAAATATCAGCTAAATGGCATACAGTTTGCACAACAAATTGTTGAAGCTGATATTGTTAGATGGTTCAGTGTCTCTATCGGCCGTTTTGTCTCCTCTGTGCGCACTATGTCCTGTGGAATAGGAAAATAGACGAAATAGGTGGGCGGCTAGACACTCCGACTTAGTATTTATCAAAGGGTGCAATAATGAGAATAGGGAAAGATAGACAAGCGGCAAGGTAACCTGGTCGAGCTTACTGAGATGTATAAAGCCAGTGGTTCGGTCAAGGTCCCCGCCAAAAGTGCTGCCTGTTTTCTGCATCAATTCCCACTCCTCCATCGTACTAATGCGGTAGACCAATTCTTCACTTACACCTGCTCCCTCCCTCTCAGTCATCTCTACAATGTTCAAAACCGGATTTCACCAACTTCCTTTCAATCTAAGCGGTCCCTTTTTGGACTAAAGGGGTGTTTGGTAAGAAACAAACAAGTAGACTTTTTTTTTTTTTTTTTTACATATTTGAAAAAATGGGGATTTACCCGGGTTCGTTTGACCTTGAAAATGGGTCGTTTTGGCAGTGGTGATCAGTCGGCTCCATAGATAAGGTTTTAATAGACGTTCGCGTAAATTTTTAGCGAAAATAATCTCAAAATTCCGGATGACCAAAAAAGATGGTGTACTATGACACACGAAAATCGACAAAATGGGGGTTCGTCAGCTTTGGGGCTCGTTTGACCTTGGAAATGGTCTGTTTTGGCCGTGGTGATCAATCGGCTCCATAGATAAGGTCTTCACTGACGTTTGTATAAATTTTGGCGAAAATCATCTCGAAATTCCGGATCACCAAAAAAATGGTGGACTATAGCATACGAAAATCGATAAAATGGGGGGTTTTGCCTGCTCTGGAGCTAGTTTAACCTTGAAAATGGGTCGTTTTGGCTGTGGTGACCAACCGGATATATAAATAAGGTCTTAACGGACGTCCGTGTAAATTTTTTACAAAAAACATCTCAAAATTCTGGATCATCAATAAAGATGGTGGATTATAGCACACAAAAATTGGTAAAATTGGGGGTTTGCCTACTCTAGGGCTCATTTAACCTTGAAAATGGATCGTTTGGTCGTGGTGACCAACCGACTCCTTAGATAAGGTCTTAACGGACATCCATGTAAATTTTTGGAAAAAATAATCTCAGAATTTTGGATCACCAAAAAAGAGTGTGGACTATAGCACAAGAACATTGGCAAAATGGGGGGTTTGCCTGCTCTAAACTTGTTTGATCTTGAATATGGACCGTCTTGGCCATGGTGATCAATTGGCTCCATAGACAAAGTCTTGACGGATGTCCACAAAAAAAATTGGCATTATTGACGTCGGAATCCGGATAACCCAAAAAAAGGTTTGCTATAGCACACGAAAATCGTCGAAATGGAGAGTATGCGCGCTTCGAGGCTCGTTTGACCTTGAAAATTGGTAAGACTAGCTGCGAGAGACAATTGGATGAATAGCCAAGGTCTTGACGCACGTCCACAAAAAAGTTTGGCATTTTTGACGTCGAAATCCTGATCACCTAAAAATGGTTTGCTATAGCACACGAAAATCGTCTACATATGGGGTATGCGCGCTTCGGGGCTCGTTTGACCTTGAAAATGGGTCGGACTGGCCGTGATGGCCAACTGGCTGCACAGCCAAGGTCTTGACAGACGTCCACAAAATTTTTTGGCATTTTTGACGTCGGAATCCGGATCACCTAAAAAATGGTTTGCTATTGCTTACGAAATCGTCGAAATTGGGGTATGCTCGCTTCGGGGCTCGTTTGATGTTGAAAATGAGTTGGATTGGCCGTGATGGCCAACTGGATACATAGCCAGGGTATTGACGGACGTCCACAAAAATTTTTGGAATTTTTGACTCCTTAATTTTGGATCACCTAAAAAATTGTTTGCTATATCACACGAAAATCATCGAAATGAGGGGTATGCGCGCTTCGGGGCTCGTTTGGCCTTCAAAATGGGTCGGACTGGCCGTGAGGGCCAACCGTCTGCATAGACAAGGTCTTGACCGACGTCCACAAAAAAATTTTGGTATTTTTGACATCGGAATCCGGATCACCCAATAAATGGTGTGCTATAGCACACGAAAATCGTCGAAATGATGGGTATGCTCACTTCAGAGCTCGTTTGACCTTCCAAATGGGTCGGACAAGCCGTGATGGACAACCATATGCATAGACAAGGACTTGACAGAGGTCCACGAAAAAATTTGGCATTTTTGACGTCGGTATCCGGATCACCCAAAAAATGGTGTGTTATAGCACACGAAAATCGTCGAAATGAGGGTTATGCTCGCTTCGGGGCTCGTTTGACCTTCCAAATGGGTAATACAAGCCGTGATGGCCAACTGTATGCATACACAAGGTCTTGACGGACGTCCACGAAAAAATTTGGCATTTTTGACGTCGGAATCCGGATCACCCAAAAAAATGGTGTGCTATAGCACATGAAAATCGTCGAAATGACGGGTATGCTCGCTCGGGGCTCATTTGATCTTCCAAATGGGTCGGACAAGCCGTGATAGTCAACTGTATGCATAGACAAGGTCTTGACAGACGTCCACGAAAAAATTTGGCATTTTTGACATCGGAATCCAGATCACCCAAAAAATGGTATGCTATAGCACACGAAAATCATCGAAATGAGGAGTATGCTCGCTTCGGGGCTCGTTTGACCTTCCAAATGGGTCGTACAAGCCGTGATGGCCAACCGTATGCATAGACAAGGTGTTGACGGACGTCTAAGAAAAAATTTACCATTTTTGACGTCGGAATCCGGATCACCCAAAAAATGGTG